TGCCTCGCATCCTTACTGGGTTACGATCTAAAATTTGGTAATATGTTTCTACTCAGAATAGATGTATTGCTTGGATTTTTTTCAGGTCAGCTATCTGTTGTCCAGTTTGACCCTTAATAGGAGCCTGGAGGATGCGCAGAGTCTTATCGGGTGAAAGGGACCTACCCAGCATCACCACCATCAGGTTGGGGAGAAAACTCTGGATTTAAAGCTTTGGTGTGTGTGTGCGTGCTTTTTTTTTTTAACTGAAGTTTAGTTGATACACAATACTATATTGGTTTCAGGTATACAAGATAGTGGTTTGATAATTATACACACTGCAAAATGCCCATCACAATATGCTGCTACCATCTGTCACCACATAAGGTTATTACAATATTATTACTATGTTCCCTCTGCTGTACTTTTCACCCACGTGACTTCTTTATTTTAGAAGGATTTAATGCTCTTGAAGTGAGAACTGCAAGTGCCTCCTACCCCCACTGCACCTTATACCCTGCTCGTCCACTAAGATCCAATCAGAGCAACGTAAAGGCAACAATTGTATTTCCCAACAATAAAAATTCACCAAGTGATCATTGTAAAGCGGGTATGACAGTGAGACAATGTCAGGAAGCTTTCTACTGAATCCATAGATATGAGCAAAACGCAAGGCTAGCCTGCATTCAACAGCTCGTCCCATGCTAATTGTGAAGGAATGTGGGCATTTTTAAATGGGTACAAGTAGAATATTCTATAAAATGGGCAAGGGAGAAAGAAAGAGGCTCCAGATTTACCAAAAATTTCCTTTGCTGCTGCCCTTTCATTTACTAATTTCTGTGCCTACTTGTATCATTTAACCTTTGCAAGTTTGAGGATGTTATGTTGAAGCCACTAGCTACCTTAAGATAAATAAAACTACTAACATGTATTTTATATATATATATATGACAAATCCACTTACTTTATGGTGATATATATAAAGTAAAAATTAGACCACCAATTTTAAAAAATGTGTTTCTCAAAGACAAAAAAAATATCTCCTTTTAGAATCTGATCACCAAACAGGTGGTTCAATTACATATCTTGTTTTGAGATCCTCTCTCTGAAAGATCTTGCTTTCTCACCACATTTTCGACTCCCCCACCACGTCGGGTGCCACCCTCACCCCCTCTGTCATGGGGTAGCAGTTAACAGCTCAGTCCCTGGAGACTGAGAGGGCACAAACCTCAACTCTGCCATCACTAGCTTATGACTTAACATCTCTGTGCCTTACCTTACTCACCTGTAAAGTAGGGATAATTACACTACTATCTATTTTGATCTTGTAGAGATCAAATAAGCTAATTATCTGAAAAGGGCTTGGCTCACTGTAAACACCATTTGGCTAAAATTCTCACCATCATCCTCACGGTAACCCTGTCTCACTGTCATTAACAGCAAGCTCCAGAGGACAGGAAATGGCCTGTATTTTTCTCTCATGCTTCCTGAACAGGCACAGAAAACTAATTGAATATGGGCTGACTGAAAGTATGTCCTAAAATTAAGGCTCTAAGTACTCAGACTTGCTAACCTGCCTCACAACTTTTAGACCCACACTGTCTTTAAAAAAATAAAGCTAAATGGTTCTCTATATTATTTCTTAGAAACGAAGATAAAAACTAATTGCCCTTTTTCGGAGTCAACAGGGATTCTCTCTTGTAACACTGGAATTTCAAAATAAAGGGTTTGGATGATAATGGACTCTGAATGCCGTCCACCTTCTGAAGAAACCCCAAAGGCCCAGCAGCCCTTTCCTGCAAGAGGCAGTGATTCGCTGTAGGCCGTTTCTTACCTTTAATGTAGATGTGTGAAAGCTAAGAGTCTATGGCAGGGCTAAGAAAAGAGGGAAGCAGCAAAAGTTAAAGAGTTGAGGAATTACTGTCACTCTAACAAAACAGTTCCTGTTAACCAAGTAGGCAAAAAAGAAAATGGGTTTCCCACAACCTCAATAATCCTTATGTGAATTGTGATATAACTTCCTTAAAAATTCTAAGAATCTTCACTAGTGGATGCCAAAGTCGGTATTTTTTGTAAGCAGAGCCTTTAAATAGATCTCAGAAACTTATGAAATCAGGATCAATCTCAACAAATAAACATGACAAAGTTATCAAGTAATCAGAAACTTTAAGTGGAGTAAACCCAGCACAGTTAATCCAGCCCAGGAACAGTTCCTGGCAGCCATTTGTTCATAACTGGCTCGGCTGCTAATGTAAGGTCACGGGAGGCCCTGCCTTTCTGCACCAGCGTCGTGAATCCTCCTCCTCTTGCGCCCACTGAGCAGGGACCCAGAGGATTCAGAGCTGATCCCTGTGCCATTTGCTGGGGGCTCGCCCTCTGCCAGGCTTATGTGAGTCACTGGCCCCCTCCTCCCAAAGCCCTGAATGGCGATTATTAGTCATCTCATGTCCTTTTCAAGGGAAGGAAACTGAGACACAGAGAGGACATGCGTTCAGCCACACCAGAGCTAGTGAGGGAGGGCGCAGGGATTCAGACCCCCAGCAGCCGGGATGCAGCACCCCCTGGGGCCACGGGAGTTAGGTATGTGCTCCCCAACGCAGTCAAGACCCTCCAGAAATGTCACACAAACCTTCCCTTTGATCTTACTCCTTGTTTCCTATGCATATAGCAACTAGCTACTCAACATCCCACTTTTTCTTGACACTGCACCTTTTCCTAAAGGCTGAAAGCTGACCTCTGTTTCCCTGCCTTGACCCCATAAGCAATCTCACCAAACCTTCGAAGTTCATTGTAAATGTTACCTCCTCCTTTGAACTTTGCCTAATTTTCCAACCAGAATTAGACATGGTGTTTTACTTCCATCTCTCGTACAGCACACTACAGTTTATCTTGTTTATGTTGTATGTAAGCCTCTCCCTCCCCCGCCAGCCCAGTGAAGTGACTAGATCCCATTCACCCATTCACTGTCCTAAGCTCATGAAATACTCAGCCATGAACCTGAGAAGAAGCAGAGCTACAGGGAGAGGAGCACCGTGAGGCTTGGCTGCCACAGGCACCGAGAGAAGAGCCCCCGGCCCCGGCAGGGGTGGGGCGGCCGTCCTCGACACTTCTATAGATGCATAACCTGCCTTTCCCTTTTTGCTTGACAAAAGCCATAGTTTATAAATTTTCTCCTTTGTAAAACTGTTAATTTGAAATTCTATTTAATATGAAAAAAACCCCCCAAACTTTCTATTTAAATAAATATTCTACCCAGGCCAAACTGTTAATATGTTCATGCCTGGGAAACGGGACTGTGTGTGTGTGTGTGTGCAGCTGGCAGGGGGAGGGGAAGAGGAAAAAGGGTTCTAAAGAAAGGACTTTCACTTCTTTATGCACTTTGGGACTACTTGGATTTTTGTCCCTGATAAGCTAAGGTTTGTAATTTGTTTTAATCAATAGAACATGTTTAAAGAATAGGCCCTCCACCTCTTAATAAAAAAACCAAACCAGACTGAGTCCCTGTCTCATCCTTGACATTCTCACCCAAATCACAGACTTCTTCCTAGTTCATTTATCTGACTTTTAAAAGGCAAGTGATTAAACTTGCAACAGCCCAAATAGACTGCTGTCCAGCCTCAGCAGGCTCCCGGTCAGGCCTCCTCTCAGCTGGGGACACGTCAGAAAACCACCTGGTTTCTTGGAGACATTGGAACTGGCAGTGTGCTTTAGTGGGGAGGAAAAGGGAGGGCCAGGTTATAATGGGCCCAGAAAGAAAGGGGAAGAACACGGTGAAGAGAGAAAGAAGACAACCAATCATATAATGCCTACGCACTGCACACAAGTCCAGCCTTTGTGGGCTCTGGGCAGCGCAGGCTACCATATGCTAGCTGGTAATAATCAATCTGGTGAGGGGGGAAAATATGTTAAAAATAAACTTGCCCTGGCAACTAAATCCCTCAACATTTAAAAAAGTTAGGGACAGGACAGTATAATCAAAATATTCTGGGACCAAAAAAGAAAAGACAAGAAACTGATAGATATTCTGAAACCAGTAAGAACACACAAAATAACTCCCTTTTCTAACTAATTACCTACGGAGTTGCATGGCTATGATATTTAGCCCATTGCCCCATCACAGACTGACTTCTGAAAAAGGAACTCAGAAAAGTGCATTAGAGAGTTTTTTTTAAGTTAATATATTAAAAGAGAAACTTATGTTGTTGTTATTACTATATAGTTTTTGTGCTATCATACAAAATAGCTCATTACAAATTACAATAGATTTCGTCCTATAGGAACAAATGCTTTTTATAATAATCACATTGTATCAATTTTCCTTAAGTCATAATAAAAATTGCTCACCACAACATAAATAGCCTACCTGCCTAGCTGGCTCCTCACCTGGAAAAAGGGACGGGGGGGGGAATAGGTGAACTGGTTGGAGGTAGCAAGCAGCAGAAGATCTGAGCTATGGCTGCTTAGTGGTGTCCTGCAAAAGGTGCCCTGACAAAGGCCTACGGTGGCTCAAGTGCAGGCCTTGCTCAGGGCCCTGAGCCTGGCCCGGGATCCTTTTATTGTTTCAACTTATTTTACTTAACACAAGGGCATCCCCCTCACACTGGACTGTGGAGCTGTGTGTCCAGAGTAGGGATTCTGTCTCTCCTGCATACAAAGGCCCCCAGAGTAGAAGATAGGCCAATGCAGCCCAAGTCTTCAGGTCAAAAAAGAAAAATTCATATTACAAGCATTTGAAGTTGCCAATAAAACTTATTCAAACATCGTTCACGTGGGCTTTGCGGTATCAGTGTCCTTGGGAGCCAGAGCTGTAGGATTATGCTGGACGTGAAGGGGGCTGTAACAAGGGCTTCCCGGCCTTTATGTTAACTCTGCACCTGACCGGGTGCAGGATGGACCCACAGCAACTGAATCCCCTTCCATCACGCGTGTCAGAGCAAGACTCCCTGTACTGCCAGCTATTAGAAGATGATAAAGGGAAAGGAAATACTGTCTCAACCCTCCATTCTGACTCTGTCTTGGCCCACTGCCTCATGTCTCTGACACAGAGCTCTACATAATAGAAAATAACTCATTTTCCCAGTTTACTTAGGAATATAAGATTTACGTCTCCATGACTCATAACCAACATCTCATTTTACCTGATGTCAAAGCAACCATAAAGGAAAGGGGGCAAAGAGACCCATGGTACAACGTGATCACTCCCATCCCCCAGTGAGGGAAGATTCACTTACCGAATAAAACTCAAGTGAACACCCAGAGACCGGTGTGACCCTGAGCAATCGATGCAAAGAAACACCCCGTAGGTTATGCTTGCCCAGCTGGGATTTTTGGCACCGCAATCAAAACATACCTGAAAGAACATTTACAAATTCAGTTATTAATTAACTGACCAAATGAGCCATCCTATAGGGTACAATACATGATTTAGTGTAAAAGCTATTTAACCTTAACACAATTTAAACTGGTTATTAGAAACTATCTCACCTAAATCTTTTTTAAAACCCCCTAATTTCAATGTCTTTTATTATTATTATACTATTATATAGTTATATTAATCATATATTCATAGCCTTGTATTTATATAATGCATTAATTGTGTAATAGATTATTACATATCTGTTGTAACACACAGCACTGTGTGTAGTGAACTTAGGTGCAGCTATCACCTCAAACGGGACTTATCCCTGAAGCATCGACAGGGTTCCTGCCAGTCACCCAGGGGACACTGGCCAGAGGTGTCCCCCTGCTCAGCGTGCTCCGGGCCTTCCCACCCCCTGGACTGTGGCTCTGCACCAGATGGCAGGCACTCAGGTGTGTTTCTTCTCTCCCCAGGCAGAGAAGGATGCCCCAGATTCCAGAGGGCCCCAGCGAGCCTCCCTCCCAGTGCTCACACCTTCCTGTCCTTCCCACCCTCACTTTTCCAGGGTGGTCTCTGTGACCAGCAATATGGCAGAAGGGATGGTATGTCCTTTCCAAGATCAGGATAGAAAAGGCTTTGGCTTCCTTTCTCTCTTGCTAGCTCTCTCCCTTGGCTCACTGGCTCTGGGGGAAGCAGCTGCCATGACTTGAGGACACCAGGCAGCCCAGTGGAGAGGCTCAAGTGGTGGGGAACTGAGGCCACTCGTGCAGCAGCCAGGGATGCGTGGAGGCCGGCTGACCACCACACGAGTGGGAATACCAGCTCTCAGGTGATGGCGACTTCATGACAGACCCCGAGCCTTCTTTCCTCAACACCGACTGCACTCAAACATCCATCTGATAACAGGAGTATAAAACTACTTTAAAGTACACTGTGCTCGTCATGGAAATTAATATTTATAATTAATTAAAGATAGAACAACAGAATCCACTAATAGAGTTGTTTTTATTTTTATTTTCTAGGAGAAAAAAGCCCCCATATTTTAGATACACTTTACAACCAGAACCACCAGTGTGAGAGTAGTCCCAACTATAATCAAGAAAGATCTGGTTTCTGGCCTTTTGAGGGCCACACAAAAGTGAAACCATGAACGGATTTTCCAAAGCCCCCACCGGGATAGGGTCACCTTACACATGCATGAGTGGAGTGGACTGACTTGATATAAAAGGTGCCAACTGATTCCTGTCAGTGTTTACTGACTGCCTGCTTGATGCCAGACACTTTGGCAGATGCTTAGGTATTAAGCAGATGGTGCCATTAATGCTACAAAGACTTGCAGAGTCCCTACCCCTGCCAGGCCACATGCTGGCCTTTGAAGAACTCACTGTGCGGTCGGAGAGGACATGGAATTAAGACACCTTAGGTAACAGGCATTGAAGGACTCCCCCTCCATGGGACACTAAACAGCATGACTGACTCTGCCAAAGGTTCTGTCCCTCCGCAAGAGGCCATATGTAACCCCTCATTTACTCCACTAGCAGCTGTGTACTTACTGGGGCACACACAAAGGTGGTTTAGGAAGACTTGGCCTACGCAGAGCCCACAGTCGAGTGGGCAAAGTGATCAGCCATACGGTTGAATCTTAGCAAGGACAGGATGCAAAAAGTTTTCTAGATAGAGTCCGAGAGACATTTGGGGTCTCAAGAATAGAGCCTAAAAGAGCAATAAGTGGCAAAAGCCTGTGCAGGGAATGGAGGAAGGTGACTGGATGAGACTGGATGTGCACAGCGCAGAGCAGGCAAGCCTGAGCATCACTTCGGAGGGGGTTGCAAGGCTGGCTGTGAGAGGAGAGCAGTGGGGTTTCCAACATGGTGGCCTTAGCATCCTGGTGACCCACCAACTGAGAGAGGGCATTGCTAGAACACAGCTCCATGAGGGAGGGGGCCGTGTCTATCTTGTTTCCCTGAGCTAAGCATGCAGCGCGGCACAAAGCAGGCACTCACTAAATGCAAACAGGCAGTAGGGCAGTTTGTAGGGGCTGGAAGGGCTAGCAAGCTGAGACCGGGACCCATAGGGTCTAAGGTCAGGAGGCATGTCTGGCTCTCACAAGTGCTGGAGAAGGAGGCTGTGTTCTGAGAGCAGGGACTGCACTTTGCAACCCCAAGCCAAAGGTGAGATACGGATTTCTAAGCAGAATATCAGTTCTTATGCTAACAAAAAACAGCTTTCGACAATTTGTTTTGCCTAATGATGAGAATAAGTATTACAGAAATGACAGCTAATATTAAGTGTTTATTCCAGGTCAGGCACTGCTGTTGGCCAACTGAATCATCATAACAACCCCGTAAGAAGACACTATTCTTATCTCCGTCAGAGTCAGCTTCCGGCACCCGTGTGGGACCTACGCCGTCGTGCAGGGCCCCGCTCTGCAGAGGGCCCATGGCTAATGCTCCTCAATCTCCTCTTGAAATTCTTAATACTGTTCAAACGAACATTAATACGTCATTATTTTTCAAACTGCAATTTCATTAAGCATGTTTTGCATTCCCCACAAGTTGTGTAGCACAATTTTGATTCCATTTTAGAGAAAACTAAGGAATGATGAAGTTAAGTAGAGCTAGGAAGTGGTATCTCGGGGACTGGGCCCAGGCGGTCAGCTCTGGCCTTCACTCTTCACCCCTCACCACACGGTCAGGCACAGATGACCAGCTCCTTGGAGAGAGAAGCCTGTTGTTTCGGCCATCAGCACACCCTCCATGCTCGGCACAGGCCCAGGACACTGCAGCTGCTCATGGATATTTGTTGAATGAAGAGCTCAAGTGATCAATACAAAACTAAGAAGCAATATAGACACAGGGAAGGACTTCACAAACTAGAAAACTGATCCTCATGAGTTAAAAGCTTGACCTAGAGTAAATATTCATCATCCCCAAGAGGAAGAAATTAAATTCTATATTGTGAAAGTAAACTGAGTTGTTTTTCTTTAACTACCTGTCCTGTCTCAGGTATCTTACAGTCCTTTTTTACAACCCCTTTTTAAAAATGCTTATTAGTATCCAACTCTTCCACTTGATTAAAACTAGTTTTCATCTGTGCTTATATAATGATTTCTTACTAATGATCAAATAAAAAGTCTTAATCAAGATAGGTACCACAATACTGTGGAACATTACCAGAAATACCTTTGCTCAATGCTTTTATTAATCCTATTACATAAAATTTTCCACAGGTATGCTGTTCATAAAAAAAAAAAAGTAACAATAGATAGCTGACATTATTGAAGACAAGTATATCCAAGTGCTGCCCTGAGAGTTTTTATTGGATTTTCTCATTTAATCCTCATAATGACCCTCTGAGTTAAATCCGCCTCAAGGCCCCATTTTCAGATGAGGAAAATCAGGTATGAAGTAGTCAAGTAACTGCCCAAGGGGACAGAGAAAGTAGCAGGATCTGGATAACAGCACACAGGCAAGCCCACACATGCCCCTCAAAAGTGTGATATAAAGACGGGGACTTCTTATTTTAAAGGGGGCACCTTCCCTTTGATGAATTCAGTCAAAGAAAATACATGTTATATTTCTGAGCTAAAGCAGACAAAAAGTTTAGTTTCTACACTGCTAACTACAGATTCTAATCTTGTCTAGTTTATACAGCAACCACTCTTTGTCAACAGATCAATCTAAATTTGAAAATCAAGAAAATAGCAAATAAGTTGGCACGGAGAATTCCCGGAGCCTTTCTCCTCCTGACCTTCCTACATCCTCCAGACATTATCTGTAATAAAACTGTTTCCTTTCTCATTCCTCTTAGGTTGTAAAAACATGGGCTGCCTTCCACCAAGACTTGAAACAAAAACATCTATATTTTGTAAAACTCAGGAACTGTTTGTGCCAACATGTGGTGGCTTGTGACCACAGTGGCTAACAGCTGTTCACTCTGGAGGAGGCCGTGGGGACAGACAACACAGGGCGTCTGTCACACAAGGGACGAGTCCGTGCTGACACGGCAGCCCTTTGCCCTCTCCAGATTCCACTCTGACCTGTGATCCTCAGCGAGCGTGTCACTTTAGCCTGATGCATCATCCCAACATCTCCAGCCAGTTGAGAAAAGTTGTAAAAGTCATGGGTCAGGGTGGGGAACAGCCTCCGGAGACACAAAAAGAGGAAAACCCCAAACTCCACAGAGACCCGGAGGGAAGGAATAGGAGAGTCTGTGGTGGGTTTTCTCAGTGAGAGAAAGAGCTGGAGGCAACGCAGAGACCACTTAGCAGCTTTATCAGACAGGGAAACTGAGGCTGCTATTAAAGGACACACGGAATCAACGAGGCCCCCAGAGGCGCCCCCGAGGGACGTCAGAGGGCAGCTGCAGGGTGGGGAGGGGGCGACACGAGCTTCCTCAAGCGCCCAGCCCGCGCACGTCCCGGCGGGCTCACAGGTGGCCTGCGGCGTCCGCCCCCACTCGCAGGACCGCGGTCTGCGCGCCCCGGCCCGCTCTCGGGGCCCGAGCGCGCCCCCAGCCCCGAGGAGCTCAGAGCGGCCACTCCGCCCACCCCCGAAAGCCGCCTCCGCCCCCGTGGATGCCTCCAGCCGGTGTCAGGCACCCTCCAGGGTCTGCCGGCCTCCCGGACCCCCAGGTGCCCGCCCTCCAACCCCCTCCCAGCTGAGGCTGGGGGGCGGCGCGCGGCCCGGACCCAAGCGAGGCCCAGATGCCGCGGCCGCAAGTGCGACGTGTCACAGGCCAGGCCGGCTCCTCCTCCCGCGGCCGCGGCCACCACAGGGGCCGCCTGCAGGGTCCAGCAGAGACGCCTAGTAAGCCGGAAACGCCCAGCCGCCGTTACCTTGTTGGTCGGCACTGAGCGGAGGCGCTTGAAGATGGTCAGGATGTCCTGCTTGCTGGGGTCCCCCATGGTCAACAGAAAACGAGGCGCAGCCAGCCCCGCCAAGCGGGAAGAGCGGTTGCCGCCTCTGGGAGAGGGACGGCGCCGAGGGGGCGGGGCTGCGCATGACGGACGGGGCTCGCCCAGCCTCCGGCCCTGCCCACAACCGGGGCGCACGCGCCGCTCTGTAGAGGCCTTGCTTAGGGGAGACGCTGGCCCCGCCCACTAAGGCCCCGTCCCGGCGCCGCATGCGCGTGCGCGTGCGCAGGGAAAACCTTGGGCGGGGCTGCGCCAGCGGTCCCTCTGGGTTGAGCGCGGCCGGACAGACGGGGCTGGGGTCGGTGGGGTCAGCCACCCGCTTGCGCAGCGCCGGGAGCCAGCAGCACTTCGGCTGGGCGGATGCCGTTTCGCCTGATGGACTGCTTTCTTGGCCAGGGTCTTCTCGCCCTGCGTGTGAGGGCGACAGAAGCGGTCGCTGCGGTGGCAAAGGAGGAGACGAGGGAGAAAAGGTCCACACGCCGGAGTTTCGCTAGTCGCCTTTTCTTTTTCTTCCTAAACTAAGGCCGAATCTTGGGTGGGAAGGTTTCTCCGCCCGAAGATGCTTTTCCTAAAGTGCCAGTTTGGGTGTAAGGTTAGGGAGATGGCGGAACTCGCGAGGCTAAGGCGCCGGGTGATAGCTAATGAAAGCAGGCGGGCTGGGCCAACGTCTGACAGTTCCCGGGCCGCGGCCGCAGCCTGCGCCGGCCAACCTCCCTACGCGGAGCGTGTGACCTGGAGAAGGGCGCCTACGGATCGGTGGTGCATTGGGAGGCTAGCAGGCTTGGAGGTTGGAACCCTGGCTCCCCGCCCAGCTCAGCCGCTGTTTCCTATCTCTGGGATCTTGGTCCGGCCATTTCTCTAAAAAGATTGGTTTGCCCCTGTGTGCAACAGAGCTAGACGGGGACAATCAGGCAGAAACCCTGGCACATCGTTTGGGAGTGGTCTCCCTGAATTTAGAGGCACGTTCACTCCCCCGGTCTGGTTAGATACCCCCGGACGGGCAGTTGGAAACTTGCAGGGAATGTGGACTTATTTAACCCCAAGACTAGAACTTTTCCAAGAAACGGAAATTTACTATCTTCCAGGACAGTACGTCACTCTTGCAGACAGCTCTGTTTGAAAGTTCTTCCTTATGTTGAGTCAAAGTATATATCCCTGTACTTTGTGTCCTTCCTTGGTACTAGTTTGGCCCTACCCAGAACACCTGGCACGTTAAAGGAACAGTCATATTCTTTCTGATGGGAATGATGGCCCCATTTACTCTTTGGAACTGAAATCTTACCAAGTTATAGTTCAGATTCAGGGTATTGACTACATGCCAGCACAGAGATCCCTGAAGGGAATAAAATGGTAATGAAATGTACACAGTAGGGACTACTAATAGGCAGGGACATAAAGGGAGGAAAAATACCATTTGTACACCCATCATTGTCTTTTTCTCTCATCTGCTTAAGCGTTCTTTATAGGACTTACTACCACCTAATGCTAGAATATGCAATATAATACTATAAATACCTGCCTCCCTTCAATTGAATATAAACTTGAGATCACAACTGTTTGTCCCCCATCACTAGCCCTAGAACAATGCCTAGCACACAGTATGTGTGGAATGGGCTTAGAATGTATAAAGGTACAAAAAAAATAACTTCCAACATAATAATGAGAAAAGGCTAGATAATCTACAAAATCATAACTTCTCTTGAGCCCTTCAGAGAGCTGAGGTTGCAAAGCAACCAAGTTAACTGAATTCCAAAGACAGACAAGCCTCTCCATAGATGGAACACAAGAGCTCGTTCACCTTAGGCAAAACACAGGAGAAAGAGGCAACTGCCATACAAGTGGGCAAGAGGAAATTGCTTGAAATTTTAATGAATTCTTAAAGGCAAGTGTGGGCTAGCCAGTCAGTTTGGAATAGGTAGGGGCCTCAGATACAAAGAGTTTACATTCATTCTTAAGCTGGTTTCTGTACTGTCCGTCAGAAAGTAAGACGAAAAGAGACTGGGGAGAAACTGCTCAGTGGGGTAGGCATCTGACTGCAGGAGTGTTCGTTAGAAAGATAGACATGAGCAGCCTGGGGAAGGGGAAAATAAAGTGCAAGGAAAAAACTGCTCTAACTAGGGGGTCCCACAGGAAGACAACAAAGGCTCTGCAGGGAGATAACTTTTTTGCCTATCAGGACCAGGCCAAACTGCTCCCCACCTGACCGCAACAAGGGCCAATTGAGTAAAACTAAGGACTGCCCAAAACACCTCATCGCAGGAAAGGACTTGTGCACCAAGAGGGATTGCTACAGAGATGGACCATCGATCAAATAACCCCACCTTGTCCATCAAAGAAGTGCCTCTTAGCCAGAATGCAATCTGTAGGCCTCCTGCCTAACAGATCCAGGCCTTTGTCTCCCTTGACTCTGGCCCACTTCTCCTTTGGAGCGCATCCAAACAAAACTTTCACTCTGCCTGCTGCTGTGCCTCTGCCTTTCGATTTTTGGTGCCACAGGGACAAGAACCAAGGAGAACAAACCCAGCCCACCACAGGAGGATGGGCACAGAACCCCACCCACATCCTTGCTCTCCTAGAAAGTAAACACAGCAAATCCATGCTCCCTGGGGGAGGAGGCCCCGAGAGCCTCCGGGGTCCACTCAGGCGAGAAGGAGAAGCAAGAGCCAGTAATCCCCAACCCGAAACTGGGTGGGAAATTCTCTCACCCTCAAAAGAGGGTAGGTAACAGTTTGGGAGAACATATTCATAAATGACAGATCCAATAAAGGGCTGACATCCAAAATATACAAACAGCTCACGCACCTCAACAAACAAAAAGCAAATAAGCCAATTAAAAAATGGCAGAGAAGCTGAACAGACACTTCTCCAAAGAAGAAATTCAGATGGCCAACAGGCACATGAAAAGATGCTCCACATCACTAATCATCAGGGAAATGCAAATTAAAACCACAATGAGATATCACCCCACACCAGTAAGGATGGCCACCATCCAAAAGACAACAAGAAATGTTGGCAAGGATGTGGAGAAAGGGGAACCCTCCTACACTGCTGGTGGGAATGTAAACTAGTTCAACCATTGTGGAAAGCAGTTTGGAGGTTCCTCAAAAAACTCAAAATATAAATACCATTTGACCCGGGAATTCCACTCCTAGGAATTTACTCTAAGAATGCAG